AAAGTATTTACTCACACCTTTCGCCTATTTCTTTTAATTGGGTGTTTGTTTTATTATATTGATTTATAGAAGTTCTTTATATATCCTGAATATATGTCTTTTACTATGCATGATATATTTTTTTCTCCCAGTTTTTGGCTTGTTTATTCAATTTAACATTGTCTTTTGAAGAGCAGAAGTTTTAAAGTTTTGACGAAGGTTAGTTTAACACTTTTTTTTCTTTTATGATTTGTGATTTTTGTGTCCTATTTAAGAAATTTTTTTCATGGGAGCAGAGAGTAAGATGATGGTTAGCAGGGGTGGAGGGGAGGGAGTGGGGAGATGTGGATCAGAGGGCACGGAGTTGAAGTTTTGCAGGATGAGTAGGTAAGTTCCAGACATCTAACACACAGCCTGCTGACTGTAGTTAATAATATTGTACTGCACACTTGACATTTCTAGGAGACTAGCACATAGGTGTTCTCACTACAAAAAAAGGTAACTATATGAAGTGATGAATATGTTAATTAGTTTGTAGTAATCATTTCACAATGTATATTTGTATCAAAATATCATGTGGTACAACTTGAATATATACAATTTGTATTTAAAAATTTTTAAAGATTTGATGTCTTTACTTATAGAGAGGGGGAAGGGAGGGAGAAAGAGAGGGAGAGAAACATTGATGTGTGAGAGATAAGCTGATCAGTTGCGTCTTGCACACGCCCCAACTGGGGACCTGGCCCACAACCCAGGCATGTGCCCTGACCGGGAATCAAACCGGGGACCTTTCAGTTTGCAAGTCAGCACTCAGTCCACTGAGCCACACCAGGCAGGGCTAAAACTTTTTTCATTTAGAAAGAGAAGTCTTTGCATAATCCAAGGATCACTAAGATTTTTCCCTGTTTTCTTCTAGAAGCTTAAAATAGTTTTACCTCTTACATTTAGGTCTATGATCTACTTAGAGCTAATTTTTATGTACAGAGCAAAGTAAGGCTTAAGGTTCATTTTTGCTTGTTTTGCATATGGAAGACCAACTCTTCAAGTATTGTTGGTTACAGAGATGACCTTACTCTTGGCCATGGCTGTGTAGCATTTGACTGATTGGAGGTTCTGTGAGTTACTCAACAATGCCACGTTTGTGGAGAGTTAGGCTGCTTCACATTTGAGGCTGTCGTGAACATCCTTGCACCTAACCACCACAGTGGAATGAGTATTTCTGCAGAATTTCTGAGTGAAATGGCATGTGCATGGTAAGTGCTGGTGCGTAGCCCAGGCTGTTTTTAGTATACAGCCCCACCTACAAGGCCTGAGGAGGAAGGCTCTAACATTGATTGGACTTATTGGTATAAGCCTTTTACAAATATACAATAATTTCCTTCTGGAAAAATGTAATAGCCTGTGTTATTAGATTATGAAAGATTCAGAGCTCTTCCAAGAGGGTTTGAAGAAAAGATAATAATTTCTGCCTCAGTCAATTAGGGAAACCTCCTAAGAAATAGGCTCTTAAAACACGTGGTACATGGGAAATGGAAATTTACAAGAAAACTATTGAATAGGTATTGGGGACTTATAAATACCTCTGTGCTGTGGCCTCCCCAAGAGTAGAGGTTCCTGAAATAACTTTACTCAGCAGGGACTTACCCCCTAGTGGCCTGAATGTGTACATGCAGCCTCCAGTGTCCGGGTCCACAGACCCTCACTGTCTCACTAGACTCACCAGCACACTCCCTTGTACCAGGCCTGGGCCCCCAGCGGCATGTGCAAAGGCACAAAGGGGTGCTGAGAAATGCAAGGTGTTCAGTGTAGCTGGAGCATAGAAATTATGCCACTTTTTCTACTTTCTTCTCACCCTACAAGGGGCATGATTTGATCAACTTGAACTGTTATCGCCCAGGACCTACTATTAGGTGGCAGGGACTGACCATGCCGGGGCCGTGTGGGTACACAGAGCTCCGGAACAGTCCCCCATCTCCAGGGACGCTAACACAGGTTAAATAGCAACATGAGGTGGTTTAGAAGAAGTTCAAAAACAGTACCAGCAGGTGTCCCAAGCAGGGCAATATTGATATCATCCGTGGCGACTTCATGCTCACTGGGGAAGTCTGTGCGCTAAGGGAAGGAATAAAGCACTCTGGCTGTGGGGGGCGGGGTCTGAGCTGGATGCTGAAAGTCCAGTTCTGGCACCAAGTCACTCAAGCGTCACCTTCCTCCCAAGTAGACTCCATCTTTCTTCAAGTCCCCAAAGCCCACTGCTGGCCCTGAGGTTCCAACTGTCAACAAGACCAAGCTCAGAATTTCCTGGCCCAGTTTAGCCAACAATTGCAGATCCTTCCATTAAACATTTGGGAGCAGCAAAGTGGGGGTGCCCCCTCTTTATTTTGAATGTAAGCCTTTTTATTTTGAATGGGAGCCAAGTATATTCTTTATGTTTCCAAAAGCTTTTCTGATAAATCCTGTATCAGTTAACCATTGCTGCATAACACATCATCCCACAGCCTAGTGGCTTCAGGATCCTGAAGGCAGAAACAACAGCCATTTTGTTTGCTCAGGAATCTGTAGTCTGGTCTGGGTTCATCCGGGCGTCTTTTCAGCTGGTCCCACCTGGGGTCATTTCTGCGACTGCCATCCTCTGGAGGCCTGAATGAGACTGGATGATCCAAACTGGCCTTACTCTCATCTCTAGTGCCTCATCCAAGACAGCCTGAGGCCTGGGGGCTGGCTGCTTCCCCTCTCTGTGGCCTACTTAACAGTCCAGACTTCTTTATGTAGTAGTTGGCTTCCAAGAAAAGGCAAAAGCAGTTGTCATGCCTATGAAGTGTCCCTTTTGCCACATTCTCTTAGTCAAAACCAGTCACAAGGCCAGTCCAGGTTCAACGGGAAGGGAGATGGACTCCACCTCTTGCTGGGAAAAGTATATGTATCCATGGATGGAAGAGGCTTTCGCTGGCCACCTTTGCACCCTGTCTGTTATGGCTTCCTGGGTTCTATATGTTGCCATCTCTTTATACGAATTTGAATTCACATAAGATTCATTTCATGTTACTTTATTTAACCTTTCCAACAGCCTTTAAAGGGAACATGCCTCTGTTTTATCATGGAAAGATGGAGGCTTAGAGAGAGCAAACAGTTTGTTCACTGCCACAGCAGAGTTGGAGTCGAGCCCGTCTGGTGCTAAAGCTGTGGAGACTCACCTTGTGTCATGCCTCTGCCCAGCGCCACCTCCCCCCAGAGTGAGGATCAGTCGCTGGATCCCAGAGTCCAGTAAACACCAAACCATTTTTGAATTAAGTCTCACAAGGCACTGGGACATATGTAAATTACACCAAAATGGACAACTCTGCGGATTGTTATTTAATTATTTTAGTAATCTAAGGACCTCTATAACAGGCTTTGTAACAAAAGAGGTATTCATTTAAGGATGCAATGCTTTTTATGTGAAGAATTTTGTCTAGCCAAACATCAAGTCAATGATGCTATTTCTCCAAACATAATTCTTAAAAAATTAAACTTAATGGGGGTCAACATTGGTTAATAACATTATATAAGTTTCAGGTGTACAAGCCTATAATACATCATCTGTATATTGCATTATGTGCTCACCACCCAAGTTTTAGTCTGTGTCCATATGAGTTTATTTGTTTTGTTTGCCCATTTGTTGCTTTCTGTTTTATGCCTCATATATTAGTGAAATCATATGGTTCTTGTCCTTTTCTATCTGATGTATTCTGTTTAACAGATACTTCCAAAATCCATCCATGTTGTTGCAACTGGCAATATGCCATCCTTTTTATGGCTGAATAGTATTCCATTGTATATATGTACCATCTCTTCTTTATCCACTCGTCCATTGAAGGACACTTAGGTTGTTTCCATGTTTTGGCTACCATGAACAATGCTGCAATGGACATATATCTTTACAAATAAATATTTTCAAATTTTGGGTTAGATACCTAGAGGAGGGATGGCTGGGCCATATGGTAGCTCTATTCTTAATTGTTTAGGAACTGCTCACTAGGTGTTCCATAGTGGCTGTAATTCCCACCAGCAGTGCACAAGGGTTCCTTTTTCTCCAAAGCCTCTCCAACACTTGTTTCTTGTCTTATTGATAACAGCCATCCTGATGGGTGGGAGGTGGTATGGTATCTTCTTGTGGTTTTGATTTGCATTTCCCTTATAGCTGCTAAGTTGAGCATCTTTTCAAATATCTGTTGGCCATTTGTTTGTCTTCTTGGGAAAAGTGCTCAGGTTTCTGCCCATTTTTAATTAGACTGATTTTGTTGTTGTTGAGTTGTATGGGTTCTTTGTACATTTTGCATTTTGGCCCCTTATTGAGGTATTGGTTGCAAATACCTTCTCCCATTTGGTTGCTTACATTCTAATGTAGTGTGATAAATAATCATTTGCTTTCCAATCCATTGACTTTTTAAATTTATTTTGCTTTACATGGGATAAAGTTTGTAACTTCCAAAGAGAGAATAAACACTTTTCATGGAAAAAGCTGTTTTGGAAAACATAACACCTCTGCCCTCAGTTTTTATTGGATAGTTCAAGGGAAAAAAAAATCCAAGGTCCACTCATATTTGTCTCCCAGTGGGTAAAAGTGTCACAGGCTGACAGCAGAAGTTCTTGTGTCCACAGAAACTCATCTCGAATCAGCAGAGTTGGTTCTGCGATGCTGCAGGGCACCTAGGGAGTTGCTGGTGGGTGATCAATGGGAAAGTCCACCTGCCCTGGAGAACCGCTTCCACCGAGCACTGAGGCTTAGCTGCCTTTTCACCACCTCTTCCATGGCCACTTATCTCAGTCTCCAAAAAAGAAAATTCTGACATCTTAACTTTAATGTGGACATTTTATCCAGTGCTTGAGATAAATATAACCCTGAGTAGTACGGAGAAGGTTTAATGGGAAATGGTTGGCATTCCTTCTTGGTAGAGGCGCAGCGAAAGGAGAAAGGGAGAGGGAGAGAGAGAGAGAGAGAGAGAGAGAGAGAGGAGAGAGGCGAACAGCAGTGGGGAAGACAAAAGCAGAGATAAGCAAGGCTCCAAGGCAGCCTGGACGCGAGGCTGCTGAGAACCTGACACTTTCCAGACCCCAGCCAGCATGGTGATCCTGAATCCAACGACTCTGGGAATTTACCTTCAGCTTTTCTTCCGCTTTGTGGTGTCTCAGCCTACCTTCATCAACAGTGTCCTCCCCATTTCAGCAGGTAAATGATGACTATGGCTTTCCTCTCTTCCGTCTGTTCGGGGCTGGGGAAGGAAGGAAGATCATTTTGCCACATGCCCTGATATTTCTCCCACTGTACTCTTGGTGGGGGGGAGTCCGGAAGGAAATCAGCCACCATAGCAGCTCTCTGTCACTTCCAGCTAGTCTTGGAAGCCCCTGCTGTCCGGGTTCCCAACAGCCCCCACCCACTCTCAAAGCCAAAGACTTTTAAAAATTGTTTCTGCCTGCCCATCACATCTCCCCATTTGCTACATGATTTCATTGTGGTTGGGAATTGTGGGAGCTTAAGAGTAGGAAAGAAGTGCAAGGGAGAAAGGAGTGAGTCTCAGGCATTTCTATTAATACATCCCTGACCCCTTCTGAAGGGGGCTTGGCTCGAAGGGGATGATGTGGAGTGGACAAGCCTCTGTCCCAACCCCGGGCAGTGTCGCCGGCTGCTAGGACCATCCCACCGAAGGGGAACAAAGGCCTGCTGGTTCTCTGGGGGGCTAGGGGCCCCCATGCAGCCTCAGACTAGGTCCTCCATTTCTCCAGCCCTCCTGCTGTTCTGTTGTCTTTTCTCCCGTGGGGCCTTCTCTTCAGCCTCAGACGAGGCAGCTAGGAGAAGGGGGCTCTCCGGGGAGAGGGAGAGGGGCTTGGAGTGACACCAGGCTGGAGCTGGGCGTCTGCTGGGTGCAGTGCTGGGAGATGAAGGCAAGGAAGGGGCTTTTGCTGGCAGCTTGGCGACGTTTTCTGCTGCCCTTGTCCAGTCTGACCCAGAGTAGGGGAAGTATTAGGTTACCTGCATGACCTATTTAAACGTTTCTGAGCAAACGCAAATATTTTCAGAGGGCTTGGGGAGGCTGACAGCCCCTCTCCCTTCACCTCAGTCACCCACAGCTCTCCCTAGAAACGGCTCTCGCTGCCTTTGCTGGAAACACAGGCTCTCAGGGAAGGCACAGCTCTGAATTCAGTTTCAAACCCCCATCCATTCATAAAAACAGTTCGTCAACATGATGTGCTGCCAACGTTTGTGGGCCCTGAGGGAAGGACTCAGAGAAGCATGCGAGGCTAATTATAGAAGTGGGAGGAACTCACGGAGGGGTAGAGGATTTGTGGAGAACACTGATGGGGTGGGGAGGGGGAAGGAGCGGCAGGTGGTTGTGCCACCGCAGGTGTGCCAACACGCCCCCCACAGATTCAGGTCAATAAGACTTCTGGGAGTGAGTGAGTCATTATTCCACAATTCAAGGGAGAAACTTGAAAGTTAATTTGGTCTAACTTGGTGACTCTTAATCTCTTTGGGGCCATCGATGCCTTTGAGAATCTGCTGAAGGCTTGGGCCTTAAGGAAACTCAGTCCTCTGGTTCTAGCCCTGCCTCTGGTGGGCTCTAGGACTCCTGGGAGATAGTTGGCCTTAGACTGTAAGCACCACATGGGCAGGGCATCTGTCATGTACATTCTCGTCATTTCTCCAGGGTGAGAGCAGTGGTTGGCACATAGCAGGTGCTCAATAAATACTTAGTGACTGGATGCATGAATGAACAAATAAAACCTTGCTCATCTCTAGGCTGGGGTATGCTGTCATTTCTGAATTTGCTCATCTCTAGGCTGGGGTATGCTGTCATCACTGAATTTAAATGGTGCCAAAATGGCTAGTGAGTTCTGAAAGCTAGAGAGAAAAGAGCCTCTGACTTTCTTTGAACTCCTCGCCCTCGAGAGAACCCTGGCATATCTCAGACATCTTTTTAAAACTTTAATTGATTTCAGAGAGAGAGAGAGGAAGGGGGAAAGAGAGAGAGAGAAAACATGGATTTGTTGTTCCACCCATCCCTGCCCTCATTGGCTGTCTTGTATGTGCCATGACCAGGAATTAAACCCACTAACCGAATGAGCTACCCGGCCAGGACTAGACATCTCTTAAGTGAGACTTTGTACAGATGGCCCCACTCGGGGTAACGTCAAGATAAAAGAGCAACTCTGCTAGGTAGTCCTGATGAAATACTTGAGTGAAGGGACCAGTTTCAGAGGTTGTGGGTAGGACTGAGGGAACCAACAAGGAATGTTGAGAAGTTAGCAACTATGGGTAGCTTTTACCACCCCTGTGCTTGAACAGGCAAGAGGAGGAAATGGGGAAATGGATCCCACATAGAGTTAGGACCTCGGCAGAAAGGTCACTGAGCAGGAGTATTAACCCCGGAGGGACCTAAAAAGGGGAAAAAGTGGAGAAGAAATACCTCGACTTCTCCTTCCTTCAACACAACCACCTCTTGGAAGTGCCTCGCATTGGCCAACCCCTGCTGGAAGCCCAGGCAGAGAGGCTCCTTGATGCTGTCACGGGGGTCAGCCTCTGGGGCGCAGAGTGGAGGGAGGCAGGCGGGCCGGCAGAACAGTGAGGCCGCAGGTCCGTCCGTCTGTAGGCACCTCCTCACGAACTGCCAGGTCCAGATCCTCTGGCTGGGAACGTGGTCTTCAGACATTTGGTGAAACAGTGAGGTGGAGCTGGGAGCATCAGCAGAGAAAAAAATCTCTGCGTTCTTTTGTAGAATTACTTGGCTTTGTCCCCTTCATTTAGTTGCCAGGGCTTCCTGATAGCACAGTTCAGAAGTAAACTTAGGCCCTGAAACAGGAACTATTCCCTTAATTCTTTAAAATATTTTCCAATTGGATATGAATTCTATATTCAAGCTTGTAGATTCTTAATCTTCAGATGGAGACAAGCCCTGTGCATGTAGAAACAAGGGCCACCAGGAAGATCTTTTCATTTCCCCCTCACACCTCAGTGAGTGCCTACCGCGTGCTGAGTGCGGCAGGGGACACAGAGACAAGTAGGACGCTGTCTACCCTCTGGGGCACCCGAGGTCACTTGCTGTTGACCCACACATGGGCGGCCCAGGCAGCGCGCACTCGATTCCCCAGAGAGGGGCAGCGATGGAGGGAAGGTCCTTACAGGCCTGCAGGCTGGTGCTTGCTTTCAGCCTCTCCAGGGAAGGCTGCGTTCCAACCGCGCCAGGCGCCGAGCCGGCTACCTAGACCCCCGCTCCTTCCCTGGCAGCCTCCGCTGCCGGGCCCCAGAGGAGAACCGGGAAGGGAGCAAAAAAGCCTCAAAGAAGCCAAAATTGATGGTAGCAATCTGGGCACGAAAGCACATGCTTTTAGTGCACAGAAAGCAAGCTCAGGCCTTTACTCCAAGCCTACTAACTCTACCTTGGACTCCATTCTAACTGGCTTAGACAGGTTTCTGGAAGGGTGATGCGCTCCCTGTAGCACATTAGATCTTTGGAGCGAAGTTGCTGCTTAAGATGCACACAATGACAACAACAACAAAAAGACAGCTCATAAAATTGGTTACAAGGAAAATGGTAAAGAACTAGGGAATAGTTCTGAGATCAAAACAGAATAGTAGACTGGAATTGTTTCTAGAGCCTCTGTTTTGTACATAACCCTGAAGGCATCGTGGCTTTCACTATGAGAAGCATGGATGACCCAGTGGAGACTGAACTGTGGTTTCTTTATTTTGCTTAAGAAGGCAGATAAGTGTCAGGTATATTTTAGAGTAATTTTTATTGAACATGGCCCTAAAATCTTAAACGTCAGGAACCCCAACTTTGTTATGTTGTTCCAGCCGTTGCTGGATGATACACTACCCTCACACTCAATAGCTTAACCGACAATCACTTATTAAACTTCACGTGTTTGTGGGTTGGCTAAGGGTCAGCTGATCTGGCGTGGGCTTGGCTGGCCCTGGCTGGACTCACTGTGGTCCGTGGACTGACTCAGCCGCAGGAGCCATTCACAGATGCAGCTTAGTAGCTGTGCAGTTTCTATAATGTGGTGGCACAGACCCAAGGACAATAATATTTATAGACGGGCAGACCTTCCACACACTCCAGTTTATGTAATTCTCACAGCACCCCCAGGATGGGTGTGAAATCTCTTTTACTTTTCAGATGAAGAAAGAGAGGTTCAGAGAGGTTAAGTGATTTGCCCAAGATCACACAGCTTGCATGTGGGAAAGCTGGAGGCTGGAATTCTTCCCTCTTTCTAAATTGGGGGCTTTTACCAGTGTGACTAAATCTGCTTCTGGCCATGGATAAATAACGATATCAGATGTTAAGGTCCTATAGGCTACCCTTCTAGCCTTTGAAAACTCAGCTCTAGATTCTTTTTTTAAAATTTTTCATCCCTTCCTTAAAAATAATTTTTTTAATTACAGTTGACATGTGCGATATGCAATGTTATATTAGTTTCAGGTGTACAACATTGTGGTTAGATATTTGTACAACATAGAGGTGATCCCCCTGATAAGTCTAGTACCCACCTGACAGCATACATAGTTATTACTATACCCTTTGTTCTTTCTTCTCTCTTGCTGTCTCTCCAGGATATCATTGCGGAGAGCTCTTAGCAAAAGATTGAGTTTGACTTTACACTAAAGTGTGCATGACTTGCCAGGTTTATATTTCCTTTGGAGGTATTTGTGTTCTAACACTGGTTAAAGTTCTAAGCTAAAGTATGTTCTAGTAAGATGGGCTTCATCGAAGGTATTTGGGGCGGGGCGGGGATGAGGCCTTGGTGGAGTCAGGGGCACACCACCTCACAGCACTCTCCTTGGGCGCTGTGAGCCAAGCTGCCCTGTACCTGCATTCACACGCGTGACTTCCCTCTTCCAAGGCAGGGTCTCTCAGGTAGGCAGAACTCTCCAAGTGATGTTGGGTCAAGGTCTCAGAGGCCATATGGTGAGAAGACCCAAATCTAGTCCTGCAGAGTGAGTCATGCGGAGGAATCTGAACTCTGTCTGGACGCTGGACTCTTCTCCAGTTAGCTGCTGAGATACAACCTGGAGCAGGAGTTTCGTGACTTATAGGACATGCTGTCTAGCCCTGCGCTCTCCCGACTTGAAGCCAGCCAGGCCGCCACTTGGGAACTGATCGTGGTCTTGGCAGTAGATCGTGGGCCATTTATTTGTGTCTGATGTTGATCAACTATTGTTTAATGGTC